TCATCTAGCGATATTGAGGGATTAGTCTCAATACGCAAGGGTTCTTATCAAGCCAGTGCAAGACAGAGCAAAAGAGAACTAAAAAGCCAGGCCAAGTATGCTTGGCTAAATAGACACTTAGGAATTCCGTCTTTATGCTCATCCGGCCAAGTACAGATGCAAAGTCCAGTTTACTAACACTTGAACAAGAGGGGCTGATAAAGGGTCTAGCAACACTAACCTCCTGCTATCGTGGCAGTAAGGTAAGAGTGTCCGTAAGGACTTGCCGACAGGTAACTTTCGATACCCGAAGTCACATTCGCGACATAGTGTGACCAAGGAAGGTTATACCCACATAGTGGGTGATGATATAATTGTGAGACACAAAATCCCTAAGCCCCAAAGTGGAGCCGGAAGGGTGCCATGTGGTAGTGGCCAAAGCGAAAACCAAACAAACGTAACACGTTTGGACTAAAAGCTCCGACTTAAAAGATCAAGAGCAGGAGTGGAACTCCTAACAAAGTGCTCAAGGAACAAGCACGGAGCAAGCAATAAGTGAGTCTCTAGAAAAGGGACACAAGAGGACCAACACATGACACATGGAAGTGTCTAAGATGGAACCAAGATGGACCCAAGATAGACTCGAGATGGAGTTCGAGATGGAGTCCGAGATGGACCCGAGATGGACCCGAGATGGACCCGAGATGGAGTCCGAGATGCATCTGAGATGGACCCGAAATGGACCCGAGATGGAGTCTGAGATGGAGTCCAAGATGGAGTTCAAGATGGACCTGAGATGGAGTCTGAGATGGACCCGAGATGGACCCAACATGGACCCAACATGGACCCGACATGGACCCGACATGGAGTTCGAGATGGATCCGAGATGGACTTGAGATGGAGTCCGAGATAGAGTCCGAGATGGACCCGAGATGGAGTCTGAGAAAGACCCAAGATGGAGTCCAAAGTCGAGATCGAGACCGGGACCAGGACCGAGACTGCGACCGGGACCGAGACTGAGACTAAGGCCGAGGCCAAGACCGAGCCCAAGCCTGAGTCCGAGTCCGAGTCCGAGTCCGAGTCCAAGTCTGAGTTCGAGTCTGAGAGGGTGAAAGCCCAAAGCGTTTGTCTCCCCGACCCTGGGGGGTTTGGTGAGCTCCAAAAGTATAGTGAGGGGGAGGACTGCAATGGAGCCAGTTTAGCCAGGAAAGGCCAGTTTGGCCCAAGAAGGCTGTACTCAGGTGTTGGGTGATGAGCTGACCACTAGGCTACAGGCCTTGACCCAATGGTAGTGTTGGCAAACACGGCCATGGATAGAAAGGGATTTGGTGGGGACTGGAAAAGAGATACTGGGGAAGGCTATTCCCCATGTCGGTGGGCATCCTAAGAATGCTAAGGAGTGGATCTGGGATGATCACTCATGGACGGATGGCTTAGTCTTTGAGAGACGGGATTGCAATGCAGGTGGTGTTGGACCACCAGCATGACCAAGGTAAATGGGCATGGCCTTAGCGTAACGGGTTGAGAGGTCGGTGGTACTTTAGGGTGTCAGTCATGAGATCGGACACGTAGAGCACTTGGACCAAGTGCAAAGGTTGAGTGGCATGGATGCCATTCTTGGGGCTAGCAAGCCCTAAGTCGTAACTGGGACTTATGGAGGTTGTGAATGAGACTCCTCCAAGTGGTCGGAGGTGTGGTTAAGTGACTAAAGTAGAATGGAAAAATTAGTCGCTTACAATAATCATTGAGGAGTCCAAGGCTAAAGTCAATGCAAATAGACAAGTGGGGTAATTTGGTGAAGTGTTCAAGAACCATCTTTAGCTCCCCCAGGAAATTGAATGGTCAATGGTCCCAATCCAAGTGTGGGTGGCACTACGTACTTGGATATCTAGTGTGGCTCATCAAAACCTTGCTATAGCCATATGGCTAGGGCACCTAAAGGTAGAAGGTGGGGAGAGTACCCATGAGGCTCACGTAAGGCCATAGTGTTTAGAAATGTCATCCCAAAGTCCCAGACTGTGGAAAGAAAGAAGAGTGGACTTTTTGTATAGTGATCAAGGGCATAGTCACGTGGTGAGGAAGTCCTAGAGGTCAATGGGACTTGGTGGTAGGGCCTATGGGCCCTACTCAGTGGCAGGGTTGGTGAACACTACTGAGGACGAAGTGGGATTTAGTAGGGACCAATGGAAGGATATTGGAGAAGGGTGTTCCTCATGTTTCTAGGCATCATAAGGGTGTTAAAGTGTGGTCAAGGGATGACTACTTATGGATAGATGGCATAATCTTTGGGAGATGGGTCTATAGTATGGGTGGTCTTGGATTACCAATGAGACAAAAGTGAATGGATATAATCTTAGTATAACAAGTTGATATGTCAATGGTATCTTTGGGTGTCTATAGTGGGATTGGACACGTGAAGCACTTAGACCAAGTGCAAAGGTTGAGTGGTATAGATGCCATTCATAAGACTAGTATATCCCTAAGTCAAGAATAAGACTTATGGAGGTGGTGAGTGAGACTCCTCCAAGTAGTCAAATGTGTGGTTAAGTGACTAAAATAAAATGGAAAATTTAGTCGCTTACAGTATGTCATAAGAGTGTAAAGTTTTATTAGTGCTTCACCATATGAACTCCTATATAGTTATGATCCAATACTATTAATAGAGTTGAGTTTACCTTCATGATTGCCAAAAGCTGTTAATGCTATGTCTTAGGATTAGTATTTGATAAACATTCTTCCACTTATCTAAGCAGAGTTTGCCAAAAACCTAGGCTATGTACAAGTGGGACAGCAATAATGCTACAACTCCCATCATCATCCACCTGCAGAATACAAAATGGATAACTTAGTGTTAATTTGTTTTCCCAATCTTATGGTACATGGTTTATCTAAAGGGCTTATTGTTTAATAGAAGGGACCGTATCGGGTGCTACTGTAAGCAACCAAAAGGAACAATTCAAAATATGATCCATAAGGGTTCAAATATAGAGGGAAAAAGCCCATGAACAAAGGTGTACCCTTTTGTTCAATTGATTAAAAGTTTTGGGATACTTGAGGTTAAGTGTCTTTGGGTTTGAATAGTATTGGGTTGGTGAAATCTCAAGAAGTCTAAATCAAGGAGTTTATATTTGGTATTAGAGGGGTTTTAAGTTTGACTTTATTGGTTGACTTAAGGGAATTGCACCACATGTTAATTGATATTTGGTAGGTTTGTTTTGCTCTAGCTAGGCTCGACTCAAGGGGTAGGGTGTCAAGAGAGCATGGCTCTTGGGAAAGTTGCAGTTCTCAACTTTCATTCACAAGGGTGTGAACTTGCAAGAAAGTGTGATGGATTATAAACAACTAAAAAAAAAAACTCAAGAGATGATCCATAGAGGTTTAAATATAAAATAAAAGAGCCCATGAATAAGGGTGCACCCCATTTTTTAATCAATTAAGGGCCTTGGGATACTTGGGATTAAGTCTCCTTGGGTTTGAATAATATTAGGTTGGGTGACCTTTTAGGAAGTCCAAATCGAGGAGCTTATAGTTATGGTAAATTAGACCACAAATTTATGAGGTTTGGCATGATATCCAACAAACAAATCCTCTAGAAATTATACATGTGTAATGGCTGAAATGCTTTGTACAAAGGCATGAACAATTGACACCACCTACAAATCCATTGATACCTCCTCCTAATGTTCCTCTAGATCCTAACCCATCCACTATAAAAGGTCCAAGCATACAATTATAATGCCATATATTAATATTAGCATAGTGGGATTTTAATAAATGTCAGATTGGTTTCAATCCAAACCAATTGCTTCTGTATATAAAGAGCGAGTGATAGTTTAAGCTAATTGATATGCACATTTCTGTATTCCATTTCCATATTCCATGCACTCACTAATAGAAAAATTACTCAAATATAAAACATTGGACATGTTATAACTTTATTTAAGAACTAGAAATTGCTAAGCAAATGTTAGTTAGTTGACAAAGTTTATTATTCAACATATGTCTCCTCTTCTCAATGTCTACCTTTTTCAATTTTCCTCACTTCATACAATAGTGCCATCTTGACTTCAACTAAGGATATAGAAGAAAAAGCTTTGCAAAAAAAGTTTACAATTTGCTCCAATTCTCTTGTAGGACCCTACACCATTTTTTTTATATAAAAAGATTCTAGTCATAGAAAGAGACAGGAAGAGTTTCTCACTAGAAACTACTTGGCTGCATAGGTGTTTACACAAAATCAAGACCTCAAAGTCATCCACTATTGGTAAAACAAACACCTTCAAATCTAAAGGTTTAGAGAAAAATTTGAAATTCAATCCTCTTAGATTCTAGTGCGTTACAAAATATACATTATATCATGTTATAGCAAAGTATCAAAAAGCCCTTTTCAACTAAAAGACCATGGATTTGTAATGTATAATTTAGAACACAGCCAAAATAGAGTTTCAAAATTCCATGGTACTTTCTTTCTAATCTTCAAATTCCTTGAGTGACATAGTATTATCTGAAAGAATTCATTCCGGACAGGAATGCTAGAATACTACTCAATTGATGAGGAAGTATCTAAAAATAATTGTAGATACATTAGTAAGAGCTTCGTATCATATTATTACCAATATAAGCTAAATATTAATATTATATTATTACCAATATAAGCTAAATATTATATTATAACTGAGTCAAGTAGTTAGAGGTAATAAAGACATACTTATTGCCAGCAGGCCCCATCAAATCAAACACCACCAACTCAAATGGACAGGAAACTATAATTAATTTTAACCGTCCTTTTGCAACATCAGGAGAATAATTATGAGCTATAATTTAATATTTAGCTTATATTGGTAATAATATAATATCAATATTTAAAAATAATAATTTGAAAGAAAAAAATTAACCTTATTATAATCAATGTGCTCCTTGCAGCTTCTAAGGACAGACGATACCCCATTTGTGCTCAAGATATTCACCGAGGACAAAGTTCTCAGGGCCACTAGCATAGTTGAAGAGCATCCACCCATGGATTACAATCCAGAAGATTAACATATGGCATTTTTTGAGTTCAAAGAGTACACCTTACTTCAACAGGAAAAAGTCAAGTGTACCATTTCGTTGTCTTTTCTTGCGTGGAGGCGTAATGGCATCGAGCCATCGATTCTCGGACTTCTGCAGCTGTAAAGCCAAGTGAAAATCCAAATGTTGCTGCTTCGTTCGCTCGTCTAGAAATTCCACGCCACACTGGGAGCAGCAGCTATTATTTTCCAGTCCAATCCTCCTCGATTCAGGCCCTGGAACTTGAAAAGAATATTTAAAGCTGTCCGCTGAGACGTCTTCCGCATCCTCTTCAAATTCGGTTGGACTGGAAGAGCTCGCAGGAATACACACTGAAACTTTGCTGATGTGTGTCGATTCTTCTCTCTCGATTCTTGCCTGTCTCTTCCCACGAACTTGGGTTGGTGAAACGCCCGACTGTGTGTTGCATGGTCTCGCCATGAAGGAGCGTATATCTGCCGAGCTTGGAGAGCCATCTTTTATAAAGTTTGTTGCACCAATGTTAAGGACGCAAAACTCACGACCCTGGAGGCTTTGAGAAAGGAGTCTCAAGCCTGTCTCGACCAGCACTTGCGTTCTTCTTCCCAAAGGCACGGTCGCCAATAGCAGCTCTGCAGGCATCCCAGCTGATGTGCTCGTGAATTTCCTGCAGTTCCAAGTTATGATAAAAGACCAGAAGGAGTAGAACACTCGCTCACCAGACCCCTCGAGACTTCCATTTCACTGTAAAAGTTTTCGGTGTACGTTCCGTCTCGGCTTTGTCTTCGTCGAGCCTCGCAATCAAATCCGGAGCAAGACAGCTTAGAATCTCCTGAAGGCAAACAGAGGTTACACGTATGCAGCTCGAGTTAAGTCTTACTTTTGCTTGGTCCAGAGAAGAGCATGGTTTGAAGGAATCCTCAACCGAGAGAGACTTTGAAAAGCCCTTGTCTTGAACACGACTGTAGTCGTGGCCACGGCATGCATCAAACAGCTGGTTTCCAAATCGATCCCCAAACCTACATTCAGCAATGTAAAAATTTAAGCTTTTCACAGAATGCATTTTACGTACTTGGAAGACAATTGCGCCAGAGTAAGACTTTGCATATCTCCCATGGTTTCCACTCCCATTTCTTTTAGAGTTGCCTCTGTCTGCCTTCCAACTCCCGGGATCTGAAAGCTTTTCCTTTAAACATAAAAAGCACTCCATAAGAATGTTTAAGATCACCTTGCGAACTGGTAAAGGAACAATGAAATCGTTTACAGCTGACTGAGTAATACAGGTCTGCTTATCTGGCTTGTTTAGCGAGCAAGCCATTTTCGCCAGCATTTTCTGCACAAATGCAAAAGAATGACAAAGATGATACTCATGACGCAGGCACTTACATTGTGAGAAATGCCGCAGGAGCACTGATAGCCAGTTTCTTTTTCAACCGCGCAGCGAATTTCAGCAGCTAACTGAGTTCCCACCATCAACAATAGGTCTCCCTGGGTAGCTTGCGTAGTTAAATCACCGCCGAGTACATGGCCGACAAAAGAAGTTGGATTGGCACTTGCAACGCGTTTGAGAACTTCTTCAGTGACATCCACCGCACACTCGTCCAGACCTCTCCTGAAATATTCGTTTAGAAGCAAATACATAAGCAAAGTTAAGGCACATACTTCTCAACCGTCCCGAATCTCTTGATGACTTCCATGATCAGCTTGCTTGCATACCGATAAGGCGTGAGGTCCTCTCCATTGATCAGCACCAAGTCCGAGCAACTGCAAAATGATTCTATGTTTGTCTAACAGTAAAAAGACCAGCACTGAAAGCATACCATCTCTTGGCTTCGTCAACAGGAACCATTTTCGGGACTCCAAGCTGCCTAGCTACATAGTTGGAAGTAACAACAAGGAACTTCTGCAAGATATATCATTCCAACAAAAGAATTAGAACAGAAAAATGGGAAGACAACAAAAAAAGAAAGGACACCTGAGTGACACCGACTGGTCGATCTCGAAGCCAAGGACGTCGCAAGATCTCAGATTGAGCATAGAAGCAATCGACATCCTGTTAAGAAGAAAATCAAAACAGGGATAAACAGGAAGAGATACTAGATCGAAAGAAAAAGAACCAAGTTTACCAGATGGATCACGACCCGATCGGTCGCTTTGGAGCTCATCCTACAAAAACTACTACTGTAGCTGCTCAAACGGTCTCTTGCTCAAACTCTTCCCCTTCGCTTTCCTCCTCCACATTGTCGACTTCCTCCTCCTCCCCATCTTGATCGTACTCCTCCGGATCGTTCTCTGCCGTCGTCTTGCCCAGGATAATCCCCTCGTTCGCAGTCTTGATCTCGTTCCACTGGAAATCCCTCCAAATGAAACCCTGATGCTGCAGCTGTCAAGAAATGCGCTCACCTTCTCCTCGAGCTCGGCCTCCTCCTGAGCTAGCAGCGCCTCCTCGTTCGCAGCGATCGACCACTCCCAGGGATTCTCCACGCTGATCGGCTCGATGCTAGGGAACCAAGTAGACATTCTAGACAATAAATGGGAAATCTAGGGTTCTTCATTAAAGGAAATTAGATAGCTTGTGTTTGTAGATATGTGTCTCGGCTATGTTCTATCCCCAAATATGCCTTCGTCTCGGCCTGACAGACTACAAATAAGACTCTTCGATGCAAGCACACGTCCACCAGACTCTTGCTCGGATCATACTCGCATATATCTTTCCATATAAGTCTAGAACGCTACTTGCTAGCCTTCAGAGATTGGTTTCACAGCGATCACAACTAGAAACTCAACAAGAAGATCGTAGATGAGATGTTTGAGAGAATTTTCCGCAAGAGACTGGGAGAGTGAAGCCGAGCTGATTGGCATCTCTCGGAGAAGCGTTAATGTTCGTCCCACCGAATTCTTCTTCATAAAGTGCTGACAGACTTCACGCGAGGTTTTGCAGCACTACCTACATCCACGCATCAGATTCTTTTGAGTCAACACAGCTTTGCTTTGTGAGGGTGAATTGTAGAAATTTGTATTGATTTCATTTTTCAGGAAATAAAAATGACTCTATGACTTAATTATTTAATATTCATAATAATTAGGGAAAATTACGATTATACCAATATAAATGCCAAGATTTCAAGCAATAATTTGTAGACTTCAAAATTTCTACAATCTATTATTTTTTTAAGCTGACGGCTTGACTATGCTTGACACCCTTGTCGTTTTATTATGATCATAAACATCTCTTTAGCCACAACAAATAGGCAAAATGTTTTTTAAGATCGTCCCACTTTTATTATTTCTCATTTCAAAATCTTATTCAGACCCGATTGTTAGATGCTTCGCTCGCAGAACACCAAATACTGATCCCCTGTCCATGTGTAGAGCACAGGGTATGTGCTGGAGACAATTAGTAGGCAACAATTTGCAGACTGGAAGTTACGTGGGTCTAGACGGCACTGCATATGTACGAATCGGAATGTTTCGACATAGAGGCTACTACGTAACCTTGGACGATTTTAATAATGCTATGGCCCAAATTTACAATACGTGCATTGCTCACGGTTACATGGGAGGCTATGCGCGTTTCTATGGAGGAGTACAACCATACATGCTTGTCGAATTTAGAAGTCCTGCAATGCATACTACTTTCAATCAGGTGAAAATCAATGGACCGATTTGTGATTTAGCTTGAGTGAGAGGAAAAATAATAATCTAAAGTTTCAATCTCTCTCCTATCCTTTCTCTTCATGAGTTTTCTTCTCTTCACACCATGTTTCTTGCTTGACCTTTGTTATACGTACTTTTGATTATTTCTTCGTGACTGTGATGTTCTATATTTGCACAGGACAGCGCAAGGCATCTCGTGCGATGCTAGAGAGACAAGAAATGGGCAATTTAGGGTTCTTCATTCCATGGGCAAGGCATACCAAGTGCTACTCCAGTGGCCATCACCGCTACGCCGCTCTCAGGTAAGAAATGGCGATCGCTCTCTAGAAATGCCGATCGCGTCTCTTGCCCAGCTTTGCGTGGATTTCTCGCCGCTCTACGATCGAGAGCCACATCCAGATGCTAGCTTGGAAGCCAGCATTGACGACGTAAAATCAAAATTACATGCATTCTGTAATCGTTTGTTTCATCTTTTGCTGTTTAGATATGGGATCAACGTCGCTCTGCGAATCCATCTCTCTTCAATGCCACCAAATTCAGAGTAATATCTCGAAGAAAACTCCCCTTTTTTTCTCCTTTTCTAGTGATTTTGTTCTCTCTTTTGCTTTGTTGAACTGTGCAGTATGGCGGCTATGATCTATCCCCCGATTGTCAACAAATATGCCTTCGTCTCGGCCTGACAGACTACAAGTATGCGTCTGAGATCGATCGTTTCTTTTTTCGATAGATCTAAACTCTTCTTAACTAGAACTTTTGTTGGGACGAACTTGTCACCGAAGTGGGAGAATTTCTTGTCGCCAAGTACTGGTAAGACTCGAGATTGTTATCCATTTAATGCGGGATTCCCTCCCAGATGATGTTCTTCGATGCAAGCGCACGTCCAGCCCCCTGGGAAATGGTGCAATTGTGGAAACACTAGACTCTCTGATCATTCTACTGCAGCGCAGCTCAAACGTAGGCGAATATCCTGGGCATTTGGTCTTTCCTGGTGGCCATTCAGAGGTACACATTGTATTTTTTATGTATTCCCAAAGTTTAGAACGCTGCTTGCTAGCCTTCAGAGATTGGTATCCTTGGCCACTCGGATCACAGCGAAAAACTGAACAACAAGATCGCAGATGAGATGTTTGAGGGTATTGTCCGTGAAGTTTGTGAAGAGACTGGGATTCCTGCGTCGTCCCTGGTAGGAACAAACAGGATTACGTTCTTTTCTTCTTGAGTTCATATCTTTCGGGCGTGTTTTTGTGTGAAGAGCGAGGCGGAGCTGATTGGCATCTCTCGCAGGAGCGTGAATGTTCGTCCCACCGCATTCTTCTTCATGAAGTGCCGATTGACTTCAAGCGTAATTTCAGAACACTACACCCGCGCAGCAGATTCTTTTGAGTCAACAAAGCTTTGCTTCGTGAACAGAGTGAGTGAAACTTCTCTGTGTGTGTGTGTGTGTGTGCGCGCTTGTCCTTTTCTTATTAATTGTTCTAAACTTTCAGGAAGAACTTATCGACAAATCAAATGAAATGCCTGGCTGTCATGAAGGTGGCGCAGCCATATTTACAAAGATTGATAATATGGTTTAGCACAAATCATTTAATATTCATCTCATAATAATTTGAATATGCCAAGATTTCAAGCAATCATTCAGCTTCAATTATTTGGAATGTCAAAACTTTTCTCGTCGTATTATTATGCTCATAAATATCTCTTTGGCAATGGCTGTACCGGCAAAATGTTTTTTAGAATTGTCTTACTCTTATTTCTTGTTTCTAAATCTTATTCAGAGTTCCCGTTTGTTAGCTGCTTCGCTCGAAGAACACCAAATACTGATCCACGTAACATGTGTAGAGCACAGGGACTTTGCTGGAGACAATTGGTAAATAGCAATTTCCAGCGTGGACGTTACGAGGGTCTAGATGGTACCGCATACGTAGCAATCGAAATGTATCAAGCTAGAGGCTTTGGACGATTTTAATAATGCTATCACCCAAATTTACAATAGCTGCATTGCTTATGGTTTCATGGGAGGCTATGCGCGTTTCTACGAAGGAGTACAACCATACATGCGTGTAGAATTTAGAAGTCCATTGGGAACTACTACTTCAAACCAGGTGAAAATCAATGTACCTGTTTGTGATTTACTTAGATAGTAAGAATAATAAGAACATCAGGAATATTTTCTTCTCAAGATGAAGTTTTTACCCCTCCCTACCTGATGAAGCGATTATTCAGGTTACTTTCTTTACCAGACACGTGGCGTTGGATTGAGCCTCCAGCGCGGCCTGATATATTCATGCCCGCGCAGAGGAGAATATTCTTTGCCTGGGAGATAGATATTCGTGTCCAAAGCTATGTGTAGCCGTGTCGCAGTGGAGCGCCGCCGCAGCCACAGGAGAATTCAACACACAGGTGCTGGAAACGAGTTCCCATTCCATTGGGTCTTCTCGCAGCTCGAATTTTAGGACATTTGTTTCCGCCACCGCTGGAAAAATTGAAGCTTGTTTGCTCGATCTGCTCGATCTCGCCATGGCGATGTCAATGAAGCGGCCAATGCTTGGCAATCGATCGGTAAGACCCAATTCCAGGGAAACAATGATTCTCATAGCGAATCTTTCCAGACCAAGCTCGTCCAACCGGTTTGCAAGCGGCGAGACAGAGCCGATACGAACTCTCACCACTACAGGGTCACTCTTGTCACTCCACCTCCCAAAAACTTGGGAATACACTGCCTTCCATCGGTAAGCAAGAAAGCACAAAGCTTCCACTTAAGAAAAAAAACGATTTTTTCCTCCCAGAACACCCAATGTGGTGAGACAGTCACAGTTAGTGGAGAGTCCTACATTGTCTCGGGCGTCGTCTACCAATACCAGCTCAAGAAAGGAAGGTATGCTCCAAGCGCGAAGAAGCTCGAAGTTCAGCCGACTGGACGATACATTCTCAACATGTATCTCGACAGTCTTCTCCCGGATTCCTGAAAAAAAAACAGTGGACCACTGCCAAGAACAGTTTTGGTTTCCTTGAATCGGATCGTTTCAACGCTTTGAATCCCCTGGAAACAAAGATTAAAGAACTCCTATCCTATCTAGCGCTGAGAGAAAACAAAGATAAACTTACGTTTATTCGTCGTCTTCGTCTTCGTCATCTTGATCGTCGTCCTCATCTTCGTCTTCCTCATCTTCGTCAATCCTCTCGTCCTCGTTCTCCTCGTCCTTGTCATCGCTTGGCTCGCTCTGCGCGTCCCTCTCTTCGCTCAGTGTGATCTCCACCTGTTTCATCGTCCTCTGGAGCTTCAGCAGGCCGTCGGCAAACTTCCATCCCTTGGACTTGTCCTTGACGCAAATCGACAGCTTTTCCAGCAACGCACATCTCCTGACCAGATTGTTGAGTACTTCCAGGCTCTTCTCGTCCACCCACGGCATATGAATAACAATTCTCTTTAGTGGAAGCTCCGGGAGCTCCTCCATTCTACAGCACCTCAAACACTGCATAATCACAAAGAAAACACTGTAAAAAACCAAGCTTTTGTAAAAGAAAGACATGGAAGAACCTTGAAGAGATCACCGCCAATCTCAAGCCCACTCCAGTTGGCCATGCAGCCGAAAAACTTTAACGGAGCAACCTTCTCGATCTTGTTCAATGCAGCAGGAATAGCGACCGACTTGATCGCAGTTTTCTCGAGGCCACCAATCGCAGCAGCCACGTCCGGCAGCGTCCATTCCCCCTCCTCGCTTGATTCTAGCACCAGCTTCTCTAAACTAGATCCCCTTGGAAGCCCAATCACGCAAGGAGACCGCACTACAATCTTCCCCACTCCACTGGCCTTGACGACGAGCTTCGTCACCCACTTGACGCAGATCACCTCCACCTTGGGATCCTTCTCCCCTCTCGCAGACAGCGTGAAGACGGTGAGCGCCTCCTGGAAGCTGAGAAAGATGGTGGTGAGCTCCGTGTGCCTAATGTAAGGTGACCTGAGCCCCGAGCAGTCGCAAATGTCGAGATAATTTAGAACCGGGCAGAGCTCCATGATGCCTTCGAGTGCCTCGTCTGTGATACACACGTCGTTGAGGGTGAAAGACGTGAGCCTCTTGAGCGGCGTGGCTTCGCCAGGCACGCGATCGATCTGGTAGTATGAGAGAGATACCTCCTTGAGAAGCTGGCACTTGAAGATCTCGAGAAGCTTGTTGCCCATCTGCACGAATCCCTCCCCGTCCTCCTCGAGAGTGAGGCACTCGAGCGTGGAATTCACCGCTCGCAGCCACATGCACACCGCCCCGACCCCAAACTCGGGCCCCGTGATGTGGAGATCCTGGACTCCACACGTCGTGGCGCCGATCGTCCGCCCTATGAAGGATTCCAGCAGCGGCACGCGCTTGGCGTCCTTCTTTACCTTCTTCACCAGATCGGCGCAGGAGAAATCCAGGTAGTCGACGCCCCGGAAGAGCATTCGCCAGCGGTGACAGACGAGGCGGCAGGGCGCGATCTTGTGGAGCGGCCCGATCTCGCCGAAAATGCGGCAGACGAGCGCGTCGGGGAGAGCTTGGAAGTAGTCCTTTGCGGGCGCCATCACGGCCTCCCTGCTCGCGTTCCCTCTCATACCCTAGGAGGCATCAAAAAACCCTAGTGGAGAGAGGAGAGAGAAGAAATGGTGTTACTGACTGACTGACGGAACAAAGCTCATCACGCGAATTAGAATATTCTGCTAGGTCTACTGCCAGAATATCCGCCGTTAAAAGCATATTCGTCGTCTTCATTCTTTCACTGTGTTGGAGGCCCACACAGCGACTTGCTCGTCACTCCTATACAGCACCAAATTCCTATCGTTTTGGAGCACTAGGACCGACGAGACCAGCTCCCCCGAGACGACCCCGCTATCGATAGTCCACAAACACACGCTCTCGTTCTCAAACACCACTCTTCCATCTAGCCTCACTCGCAAGTAGCAATTTCGAGTGGCGCCAATCAAGATTGGAGGCCTCCACACCACGATGTTCCTTTCCATGAGCTCCAGGTTGCAATCAAAGCCCAGAACCAGCATGTATAGCCCATTGCGAGAGACGAGATAGGATCCCGGCGTGAGCCTGGAGTAGCGCCTCGCCTTTGGGCCGCTCTGGATCATGTTCGAGTAGGGATAGCATGCCTGGCCGCCATGGACGATCACTGGAGCCCCCTCTCTTGCCACCTCTAACTCCTCGTTGGCCTCCTTGAGAGCGTACTCCATTCCAAATCGCCCATCGATTGCGGTGATATAGCTGTAGCCCCATTCGATCAACGCGTCGGAGACAACGTCGTGGAGATCATGGAAGGCGCGGACGAGCTCGAATCCCTGCATTGCGTCGGCGTCAGGGTTACCAGCCGTGGCATCGCAGCCGGCAGTGAAGAACCAGAGGCGGAGGAAGCACTCCTGGCCGTTTACTATCACGGTGTCCGAGAAGGATCGTGGCATATGGCGGCCAAGGTTGATTGTGTTGACGAGCGTAGCCAGGCCACTCACAACAACGATGCGAAAGCTGGGAACGATTCTGCGAGGGATGCCCTTGTCGAGGATGTCCACGGCTTTGCCCCTCGTAGAAAGATAAATGGTGATGGCTGTCATCAGAACAAATCGATCCATTAGGGGATTCAAGGGTCGAGCTTTCCTATGCAAATTCTTTGTTATATTGCATTCTGACACATCAATCTTCTACAGCAGACAAATCAAGGGCTAGAAAGTCATTCTAAGGACAAATTTCTAGTGGAAATTTTGCCATTAATAATATAGATTTGCTTTGTGCCCAAGGACCTTAATTTTACAATATTGCATTGTTCACCTCATTATGGTCTTTTTTATTTTTATTTCTTCATTGGTAGCCATTGTAAAATTGTGACCAATGGAATAAAAAAATCAGTTCATGTTAGATGCATTTGCAACCAAAGTCTGTCCACATCCAGGAGGCCCATATAACAAAGACTCCTTTAGACGGCAATATCCCGAACTTCTCAAACTTCTCAACTAGAAATTGCACAGTCTGCACAAGTTCCAGCCCAACGAATCAGCCACGTCCAGCTACTAACAAACACTTAACTCTTAAAGCTCCCTCTTGACGTTCTCAAGGGCACCAATGTAACAATAGGCATTTGCAACCACCTAAAAGGAAAACCTTATTACAAGTCGACCGTCTCATGGAGTGCAGAAGGGTTGCTCGTTCCCAAAGCTGGCTGAAAGTGTGCTTGTTCACTACAGCCATTGAGCTGTGAACGTCGGCATCCATAGTTTAAGGTCAATCACGTCCATCTTTTCACGTATCGGCTTGGTGCATAGGGCAGCAAGGTCCGCGCCAAACGAAGCCGTGGGTATTTTCTCCAAATCCACCTGTAGAAGCAAATGCCAATTCAATAGCTAATACATTTCATACATCTTCCGCGAGCTTCATGAGCCACTAGGGTTACTTCCAGACTGCTTTTTCGGAGAGATCCCACAAGATCGCACGCATCCTATCGTAAATTTGAAGATCCATCGAAAGACCTAGATCGCGCAAAATTACTGTAAATTTGAAGATCTATAAAGCTTCTTATCATAAGCCTTAGATTTTCCATTCTTTCACTGTGTTGGAGGCCCATACAGCGACTTGCTCGTCACTCCTATACAGCACCAAATTCCTATCGTTTTGGAGCACTAGGACCGACGAGACCGACTCGCCCGAGACCCCGCTATCGATAGTCCACAAACACACGCTCTCGTTCTCAAACACCACTCTTCCATCTAGCCTCACTCGCAAGTAGCAATTTCGATTGGCGCCAATCGAGATTAGAGGCCTCCACACCACGATGTTCCCTTCCATGAGCTCCAGGTTGCAATCAAAGCCCAGCACCAGCATGTATAGCCCATTGCGAGAGACGAGATAGGATCCCGGCGTGAGCCTGGAGTAGCGCCTCGCCTTTGGGCCGCTCTGGATCATGTTCGAGTAGGGATAGCATGCCTGGCCGCCATGGACGATCACTGGAGCCCCCTCTCTTGCCACCTCTAACTCCTCGTTGGCCTCCTTGAGAGCATACTCCATTCCAAATCGCCCATCGATTGCGGTGATGTAGCTGTAGCCCCACTGTCACAGCGTCGCCCACAACATCGTGGAGATCACGGAAGGCGCTGATAAGCTGGAATCCCTGCATTGCGTCGGCGTCAGGGTTGCCAGGCGTGGCATCGCAGCCGGCGGTGAAGAACCAGAGGCGGAGGAAGCACTCCTGGCCGTCTACTGTCACGGTGTCTGAGAAGGATCGGGGCATATGGAGGCCATAGCTGATTGTGTTGACGAGCGTGGCCAGGCCGCTAAGAACAACGGTGCGAAAGTTGGGACCGATTTTGCGAGGGATGCCCTTGTCGAAGATGTCCACGGCTTTGCCCCTCGTAGAGAGATAAATGGTGATGGTTGTCATCAGCAAAAGCCGATCCATTATAGATTCACGGCCTTGGGCTTTTCTACGCCATTATATTGCATTCTGATATGCGTAACTCTTCTATATGAGACAAGCCCAGGTCCGGAAAGTCATCCTATGACAAAGTTCTGTAGAACTTTTCCAATATGCAAGACAACTACAGATTGTTTTTGTAAATTACATTACACTTTAATTTCCACAAAATGAAACTTACTTTGGGTGATCTATAAATATTTAGACATGCAAACTAGTTTTCCCAAGATTCTTGCCCCAGTAAAGATACCTTTCTTCTTTGTCTATCACTATGGCTGTGGAAAAGGTTAGAGCCTGGGAAGATGACAGGAGTGCAAACTTGTCAATAGATTTGTCTTTGCATCGTCCGCCAAACCTTTCAGATAAAAAACCATACCAATCCATTTCACGAGTCAATATGCTTGGAAGCGCCATGACGAGTTTCTCAGCGCTAATTGCCACCATTTCTTCGTTGCAGGGACTGTCCACCCTAATCGACACCGGACTTCCTAACTGGGTGATCGCGGGCCTGACCACCCTGATCAACAGCATCCCACTCACCACCTTTTCACCTCGATCATTCTCCTCCACCGTTACCGCCGGTTGTGGTTCTTCAATACTGAATGCGATCCTGACCCCGACGAAGACCAAACTCTTCCTGGCTTCATGCTCATCCAAGCCTTTGAAGCTCTCACCGAGTACGTCAAGCACGCCTTGCACCAGTCCCGCTTCAGCTGCTACACCATCGTCGACGGGCGATTTGGAGTCGAGTACATGCTGAGTGCTGGGCCTGCTGTGGACTCTGCTGGCGATCGTTGCGGGAAGGTCGGGTTCCTCAAAGTCCATGCGCTACTCCAAACTCATGCCCGGGTCATCTCTCGCTTCTCGCAACGGGCTCTACAAGTTGGAGCTGGGAGATGCCTGTGATCTGAAGCTCCGGGAGGGGAGCATCGTTGTGTGGATGCCTACAGTCTTCGTTGGTGACGCCAAAGGTTGCTACTTGTTGATGCAGTTGGACGGAAATGCCGTGTTGGAGAACAAGAGCTTCTGTGTGTGGGCGACCAATACAGCAGTGCCGGGAAAGCTGGTTTCGACGATTCTAGTTCTCCAAAATGATAGGAATCTGGTGATGTATAGGAGCGACCAACAGATCGTTGTGTGGGCCTCAACACTGTAAAATGATGAGAATAAAAGATTTTAGTCCATGTAAGTGATCGATGCAAGCACGAACCAAGTTGCTGTTCTTCGTCAAAGTTCCAGTCCGGTGGTATACGGGGAAGCACGTCGATCACGCTTTGGAAACAGCTCTAAATTCAGTGTTGGAGCACACCAAAGAAGCTTATCTTCCTCTGCTGCGCGCCTGTGACAAACTCTCGAGCCTGAGGAAGATCCACCAGCAGATGATCCAGAAGAAAGTCGTGGTTGACAAGCTGCTCAAGAACGTCCTGATTGACATGTATGGCAAGTGTGGCGGCTTGGACGAGTCCCGAGCAGTGTTCCAGTCGATACAAGACCGCGACGGACCCAACGTTTTCTCGTGGACAGTGTTGATCTCAGCTTATGCCCGGAATGGGCATAACAACGTAGCTTTGGATCTCTTCCACCGCATGGAGCTGGCTGGAGTTCGAGCGAGCGAAGCCACTCTAGTCATCGCTGTCGGAATTTGCAGCAAGCTTGGAGCTCCTCACGGCCTACGAATCGGGAAGAGACTCCACCAGCGAATCGAGGCCCAAGTCTCGATGAACTTGATGACTGCTCTCCTTGATATGTACTCGAAGTGTGGGTGTCAGCGAGAAGCCAGAGAAATCTTCCAGAGTTTCCAGAGTACCGACACTGTGTGGTGGACTGCGATGATGGATGCGTTGGTTCGATGGGGTGATCCCAGTGGGGCGCTAAACTTGCGAAGTCGAATGGCCCTCGAAGGCATTCCAGCAAGCACTGTCACCTTTGTTGTCGCGCTCACTGCCTGTTCTTGCTGTTCTTGCGGCTCCTTGTCCCGAAAGGTGGCGAGCCAGATCCACGACGAAATCTCTTCCCGGGGCCTGGACTCCAATCCCGTGCTGGCCTCTGCACTCGTCAGCGTCTATGGCAAGCATGACAACTTCCAAAAGTCTTGGAAAGTTTTCCAGGATATTGGGAGCTCGAGAAGGAGCTTGTCATGCTGGAACTCGATGGTGCTCACTTGCGCTCGGCATGGCTTCCACGAGAGAGTTCTCGATCTGTACTCCCAGATGTCGGTGGAGGGATCGGTCGTCCCAGACGAGATAACTTTCAGCATCGTCTTGAGCTGCTGTCAGAGAATCGAAGATGGCGAAAAAATCCTCTCGGAGGCCGCGGCTGCCGCTTGCGACCAATTCGATCAAGTGAGGAGCGCTGCCATCGATTTCTATGCCCGCATTGGCGATTTGGGGAGCTCCAGGCATGTATTCGAGAAAGACTCCCACTGTCGGAGCCTGAGCTGCTGGAATGCCCTGATTGGGGCATACTCACATCACGGCTATGGCCGCCAATCCCTCGATCTCGTGCTGAGGATGAAGATCGAGGGAGTCATGCCGGATCAACTGACCTTCATGTCAGCAATGTTTGCCTCGAGCCACACGGGGCTGGTGGAACGAGGCCTGGAATGCTTCCTGGAGATGGAGGCCGAGCATGGGATTGTCCCAAGCCCCGAGCACTGCCGCTGCTTGATTGATCTCCTGGGCCGCGCCGGCCAGATCGAGGGGGCGGAAGCGATGCTTGAGGAGGATCCGTGTGAGATGGAATGGAGTATTCTCGTGGGCGCCCGCAAGAACCTGGCCGACGAAGAAGCCCTAACCTGGGTACCCTAAAACGCGGAAGAAGGATACGAATATTCACATATGAAAACCTTACAAGGAAAGTTATTTGTAGAACTGGTAATGCGAAGCCTTGAGGAGAATGTTTCGAAGCCCACCAGCTGTGGAAGCGATTGTAAGAAAGAAGCCCACTCCTATGCAAGCCTGAAAAGCTTATAAAATCAAAGGTGGAAAATCTACTTATTCAATTTTACCATGTTCGCTAGCCATGGCAATCCGAATGTTCTGGGCTTGCGAAGAATTTGCCAGATGATACAAGGTAGCTGCAACCGAGAAGAAGATCTCTTTGTAAATAGCAATTTCCTCAAGTTCAAAAAGTACCAGGAATGTTGTTGGGACGAAGGCTATTCCCCCAACAAAAGCGAGCAAATCGTCAAAGAAAGGAAATGTCACAGCAAGAAAGCATGTAAATGCTGCAAAAATAAAATAAAAAATCCTTCAGATTTTAAGCTAAGAAGAAGTTACTTACCAACGTAAATTGATCGAACAAGTAATCTAAGATTGATCCCTCCATTAACCTTCCACAGGTTTGTGAGAAGCATCTCCACATTGTCAAACAGCGGCATTGCAAATATCTGAAAATCCAAAACTATGAAAACCAAGAAGTTCGATCTTTAAGAAAAGAAATGGCTAACCTGAAAGCCACCACACATATGCGTCACCACCATTGCATTTCCTAGTGCGACGAGCCAAACAGGCTTGTCCAGAATCTCAAGGACGTGCATGTCATGGTTCTTTTGATTCCCAAAAACGTAATACCCGACCAGGGCATTTGGGAAATAACACAAGATGGTCATCGTGTAGGCCAGGAGAGCTCCATTCCAGGCCGAGATCTTGGAGGGTCTCTCAATGGTGGAAGGAATAGTGGCCTGGATCTCAAGAACGATATTGTGTCCCGCAAATGCAAACGAGATCTGGCCCAGCGAGCTAAACACCCCGAAAATAACATCCGCAGTAGAAGTTGCTTTTGGAAATTCATAGCTGACTGTGGGGCTTCGTTCACGCATTAAGGTGGCGACCCAAGCAATTGTGGAGTAGCTGTTCTTGCATGATAAAACCAAGTGAAAAAGTTGACAAAAAAACTTTGAAATCTACGTACCCGAGAGACATGAAAGCGGCAATAATCGAAACCCAGGTGATGGAGGTGAAATGTGGAAGCTGCGAGAGGAGAAGCTGGACCGATGCAAACGCCATGATGCAATATCGCAGCTCCCAGTTACATGAAGAGTCTTGAATTGGGCAACCATAGAGAAGGCTGTGGATCTTCCGGATGGATTTTCCAGCGGTGAGGAGGTAGACGGTGTCGACACCGATCTCGACGAGCATTTGCATGGGTACCACAATCCAGAGCCCGAGCTTCTTTCCGAAAGCCCTCTGGCCCAGCTCATGGTATCTGTCCATGCGTTTCCCATCGAGCTCGTGGAGCTCGATCATTTGCCACATTGTGCTGAGACTTATGATGCCGATAACGCACAGCACGAAAATCCCTGGAGCCCTGGAAAATCAAGGAGGTCTTTGTTAAATGGCACTAAATAGTATTCACACAAGTAAAGATATGTTACCAGCTTAAGTCGACCATAGCTCCGTGGAGCGAAAGAACTCCAGCTCCAATCACGGCAGTGATGTTGTGGACCGCCGCATACCACCATTTGGAGGTCCAGGAATCGTTGATCGATAGCCATGACCGCCACACTTTCTGCCACAAACCACAGCCAATCTCTCACACAAACTTGGAGAAAAACTAGAACAACAGGCATCTCTAACAAAGACGAAGAACAATCGCTTGCCTGGAAACAGGGACGTGAAGGGCTAACTGGGATCGAGTCCGCGCTAAACCCAACTTCCCTCTGGCATTTGGCATTGAAGACCAGAAGTGAGAAAAACAAGAGAGAAATTTGGGGACAAGGACCTTCAAGAGATCGTTGGTGCTACTCCCATTTTCTATTGACAAGGCGGCGCCGTCGAGAGGGTCCTCCATAGCCAAGCGGCAGTGTCGATACTTCCTAGCGAAGGAAGGGCGGAGACCATTTTCTTTCACCTAGAGTCGGCAAAGAGAAACTTCCACGCTTAAAATCCATATTCTATCATGAAGTCTATTTCTTTCTCCGGATTCATCGAAAGATTCTTTGACTCCCTCCCGTGAACATCCAGAGTTTTCTTATACGCGGCACATCATCCTTGACTTCCACAGTATTTTGTCGACACTGCACTATTGCTTATCATGGGTATAGATTCCTTGAAACATAAAAGAAGAAAAAAAAGAAAAATCATTTACCATTTTGTTCCATGAAACTTTGAAGATCAAGCAGTTCACCACCTTCGCCTGTTGTGATCTCCTTGGTTCCGTCCGGGAGCTTGACGCTTGTTCTCATTCGGGAAGAAACTCTTAGTGGCAATATAACGGGGCCTTGGATTGTTCCATCCTGGCGGAGGAGGGCAGTTCGGCTCCACGGGTCTTCGCAGCATATAGAGCTCCTCTTTCGAGTAGCGTACCACATGATACCCTTTCTTCTCGCTTGAGACAATGGCCTGCTTGAGAAGCTTGATCATGTTCCACTTCCATCCCGCGGGATCAACTGGAAACCCAAAGATCCGGAGGAAAACATCGTATGCCTTGACGCTGTAGATGTCCTTGATGGTCTGGAGAAGCTGCGCGCTCATCTCGCCCGATGGGAACCCGTACCTCTGGTCGAAGTTCGTTGATCTCGTCATACGGAAGAAGCAAATCTGGAACATCACCAGCCTGAGGCCGTCGGCATTTGCCTCAAACGTGTGCTGGAGACGGACCTCCGAGGGGAAGTTGTCCGGCTCCACGTACGCGAGGTATGGCTTCTTCTGCAGGGCCCAGAGGGTGTTCCTGGTGAGAATCTCGCCCAAGAACAGCCCGCATACTTTGTCCCACTCCACGGCATTGGGAGCTACCAGCAAATACGTTAAGAACTCGCCCAGGTCGGGGACGTGATCCTTGCCGCGACACTCGATATTGGAGATGAACGCGTCAACCTTGCGCTGAATTTCCCGTCTCAGGTAATGGTGCTCCCGTACCAGCTTGGAGAAGAGGTGGAACAGCAGGCAGTAGCCTTGTAGTGCCTTCTCCGAGGCGTGCACAACTGTGTGGTTGCTGAGCTCGCTCTTCTGCTGATCGCAAGACTGGACGAGCGTGAAAACCATGGTGTTCATCAGCGCAGGCAGCGTCTGGAGAACCACCGAAGTTGGCGCTGCCGAAGCCGTCGGTTTCCTGGGGAAGCTGAGAGCAAGGCTCTTGAGCGAGTCGTCTATCAGCGGTCTGGCACGCTGGAAGTGATCCTCGTCCAGAACCAGCGGGAGGAAGTAATCAAAATCCTCGCCCGTGATGCCCTTCCTCACGCCATGGCTGTTAAACGCCTCGTATGAGAAGAGATCAACCGCTGCCACAAAGGGCTTTCCACCGCCGGCGGGGCACGACACTCCAATCCCCAGGACCGTGTCGCTCTCCTTGAAAGTCTTGCGCAGAAAGAAGCAAACCAGCTGCCGGCGCAGCAGCAAGTTCTCCGAGTTGACGAGCTCTTTCACGCCTCTGTAGACCCGAGTCAGCCGTATGGCATCCTGGTCTGAGAGCCTGTCCACGATCTCGAGGCAGCAATCAGTGTCCAGCCTCTCGAAAAGGTTGGGACTCTCCACCAGAGAGAGATGATCATCAAACTCACCTTCAATCATAGCCGGACTAGTGACAGTAGTCGACTCTGGAGCGCTCTTCACACCAGGAAAAGCAACATTGAATCCACAGTTAGCACACGAGTAGCGCTTCACCCAATCCAATGGATCCAAGGGGTCAAAGCTACGTTCCCTTTGGGAATAGCTCTCCAGCTCCACTGCCTTGCCACCATAGTCCTGCTGCACAAACTTGCTACTAAAGAAGCTGAGAAGCTGGAGAAAGAGGTACTTGAGCAAGTAGCCCGGGCTGTAACCGCCATTGTAGATTTGCCAATGACCGCCCTGAGGATTGTAGTCATACCTCGTGGAAACCGGGTTGAGGATGTCGCAGCAGATGTAGGAGTCGAAGACGTTGGGGTGTCGGACGGGCGTCTGTATGCTAACCTGCGGAGGGCCGTGAGGATAGTCAGCTGGTATGCGGACGTCGAGGTGGAGGTTGACGCCCGCGTAGGGGCCGCTGAGCGGCGAGAGGACGAGGCACATATGGTCGAGCTGGTCGGCATAGGTGCAAACCTGGATGCCCTGGAGCGGCTCCTTGGTCAGCTCCGTGAGGTCGCGCTGGACTCGGACTTGCCATGACTTGGTGCTCATTGGCTGGAAATTGTAATCCTAAACCCAGGTATGGCTTAAGTATTCACAATTTCCTTGTCCTCCAAGTAAAGTGGCTATTTAAATTACTTACTAATCCAATTGATCAAATAAGTTTAAAATTATAAGCATGTTTCCAATTTATAAACAATCTATTAGCTGATAGAAAAAAAAGAATATACTAGAAAGAGTTTAAGAAAGTTTATAAATTATAAATAAAAAATTGAATAACAACCGTTAAATTGTAGAATATCTTATAATATTCAAGCATATTCTAGATATATCTACTACCATTTTAGTCAGAAGTTTGCTTAAAAAGACAAAGGAAGAAATACTGTGTTGGATACCTCCAGAGGAAATTTCATCTGGTGCAGAAAATCCCCAATAGGAAAAGTCTAAAAAAACACAAAACACGTTGAAACATCCACAATTCACCAAGTTATGAAACGCAAAGAACATGATATCCACGGTTGGTATCCACGGTTGGATCGATTGGCTTCCGGGCTCTGGGTTCCAACCGATCAAAGACAGTCACGTTGGCTTCGTCAACTTGTCCAGTTTTGTTGATGTGAGGCTGGACGAAGAACAGGAAATGCAGGGAAGCGATAATGTCCTGGTAGAGAATATCACAACAATAAAAAGAAAATAAAAGATCATAAGGTGAATTGGTTTTTCACCATCTTTGCCTGTTGTGACGTTTGTTTTCATTCGGGAAGAAAATTTGCGTGGCAATGCACCGGAGCCTTGACATGTTCAATCCCGAGGGAGGAGGGCACTTCCGCTCCACGGCTCTTCTCAGCACATAGAGCTCGTGTCTAGAGTAGCGTACCACATGATACCCTCTCTTCTCGCTCGAGACAATGGCCTGCTTGAGAAGCTTGATCATATTCCACATCCCACCAGATCAAAATATCCGGAGGTACTCCTTGACGCTATAGATGTCCTTGATGGTCTGGAGAAGCCTGGAGCACATCTCGTCTGATGGGAACCCATAACTCTAGTCGAATTTTGTTGATCTCGTCATATGAAAGAAGCAAATCTGGAACATCACCGGCCTGAGGCCATCGGCATTTGCCTCAAAAACGTGTGCTGGAGACGGACCTCGGAGGGATAGTTGGCTGGCTCAAAGTACGCAAGGTATACCTCCAAGGCCCAAAGGACGTTTCTGGTGAGAATCAGGAAGAGCCCGCAAACTTTCAGTTGTTTATTGTTTGTGAATCTTACGTAAAATCATACGAACCCAACCCAGTAAATACGTCAAGAACTCGCCAAGGTTGGGGACGTGATCCTTGCTGCGAAGCTCGATGTTGGATATGAACGCGTCAACCTTGTGCTGGTTTTCCTCTTCCAGGCGATGGTCCTCTCGCACCAGCTTGGAGAAGAGGTGGCAATAGCCCCTTGCAGTGCCATGCACAACTTTAGGGTTGCTGAGCTCGCTTTTCTGGCGATCTGAAAACCATTCAGCGCAGGCAGCGTCTGGAGAACCACCGAAGTTGGCACTGCCGAAGCCGTCGGTTTCCTGGGGAAGCTGAGAGCAAGGCTCTTGAGCGAGTCGTCTATCAGCGGTCTGGCGCGACGGAAGTGATCCTCGTCCAGAACCAGCTGGAGGAAGCGATTGAAATCCTCGTAGGAGAAACGCAGGGCCGACGGGGCACGACACTCCAATCCCCAGGATCGTGTCGCGCTCCTTGAAAGTCTTGCGCAGAAAGAAGCAAACCAGCTGCCGGCGTAGCAGCAAGTTCTCCGTGTTGACCAGCTCTCTCACGCCGCCGCAGGCCGGTGTCAGCCTTATGGCCTCCTGGTCCGAGAGCCTGTCCACGATCTCGAGGCAGGAGTCCACGCCCAGCGTCTCGAAAAGGTCCATCGAGAGATGATCATCAGACTCACTTTTAATCTTGGCTGGACTCGCGACAGAATCGATTCTGGAGCGCTCTTCAATCCGAGAAAAGCAACATTGAATCCACAGTTGGCACACGAGAAGCGCTTCACGCAATCCAAAGGATCCGAGGAGTCTAAGTCACCGTCCGCCAGGGTCTAGCTCTCCAGCTCCACCGCCTCGTGGCCATAGTCCTGCTGCACAAACTTGCTGCTGAAGAAGCTGAGAAGCTGGAGGAAGAGGTACTTGAGCAACTAGGCCGGGGTGTAGCCGCCCCGTGGAAGCGGGCTTGAGGATGTCGCAGCAGATGAAGGAGCCGAAGACGTTGGGGTGTGGGACGGGCGTCTGGATGCTAATCTGCGGAGGGGCGTGGGGATAGTCGACAGGAATGCAGACGTAGAGGTGGAGGTTGACGCCCGCGTAGGGGCCGCTGAGCGGCGAGAGGACGAGGCACATCCGGTCCAGCCGGTTGGTATTGCTGCAAACCTGGATGCCCTGAAGCGGCTCCTTGGTCAGCTCCGTGAGGTCGCGCTAGACTCGGAGCCATGACTGGGTGCTCATTGAAACCCGGCTACATCCTTGGCCCCGCCGGCTTAAGTATCCAGGATTTCCCTGTCTTCCAAGCATGCAATGTTCTATCTTTAAGCTAGCACGATCCAATTTGGCTGCAAAAAGTTTTAGAAGAATGACCAGAAGTTGCCCAGCAAGAGAGGAGTTTTGAAAGAAATTAAAGATTATTTGTTCGCTCAAACATAATGCAAGTCAACGTAGTCAATGCAAAAGTTCAAGACTGTTGACTTAGTACCTTGATGATTCTCATCCGGAATGTGGGAGGGCATTCTGGTCCGGAATGGCGAGCATGTGTGATAGCCGTGGAGGGCATTCCACCAATCGCTACACACGACGATGATTTTGAGTTCTTCAGGATTGCCGCCGCCATGGCAGCAGCCGGCGATCTCCTGCCGGCATTTCTCGATCGTGTGCGGCGCTTCCTCGTCTCTCGCAGGTCCAGGCCCGGAGAAGAAGGAAGTGGTGCTGATTGGAGGGACTGGCCGCGTCGGGAGCTCCACAGCGCGAGCGCTTGCAAGGGTGTGGCCGGATCTCCAGCTCGTTCTCGCTGGACGAAACAGGTATGGATCGGTGATATTGAGGGGCTAGGAATGTGGATTGCCAATGCCAGGGAGAGAGGAGAGGGAATAGCGTCCGAGATTGGGGCTGGAACGAAATTTCGAGCTGTGGATATAGAGGATTTAAACTCGGTGGCACAAGCTATAGAAGGTGAGAGTTTTTTCTTGTTTTGCTTTTGGTCGTTTGTGTGTTTGTGTGTTTGTGTAATTTTTCTTTGAGATAAATGACTTTGATCCAGGTGCGAAGCTGGTGATCCATTCCGCTGGGCCATTTCAACGCAAAAATCGTTGCACAGTATTGGAGGCCGCCATCGAGACAAAGGTAAGAAAGCGTCCATAGAACTTTGGAGACATATTTACGTGTGTGCTATTATCCAGGTTCCATATATTGATGTCTGCGATGATCTAACTCACGCTCAACTTGCAAAGTCCCTTCACAACAAGGCAGTAGAGGCTGGCGTTCCTGCGATTATCACCACGGGGCTATATCCTGGAGTGAGCAACAGTTCGTTCAGAGAATCTCACATTCCATATGCAAGCATCTAATTGTCTCGCTAAGTTTGGATTTACTGCAGTTATGGCCGCAGAGCTTGTCCGGCTTGCTAGAGAGAGTTCGGCTGGAAGCAGACCTCGAGAGCTAAGGTAAAAAGCTTGGCTCAAAACATTAGAATAAGATAATGCTGCTGAGTTACACTGAACTAAAAACAGGCTGCCAGGTTCTCTTACTTCACCGCGGGATCTGGTGGTGTTGGTCCTACGATTCTTGCAACAAGTTTCTTACTTCTCAGCGAGCAAGTCTTAACGTATAGCAAAGGTTATGTTCTCGTACTGTTGCTTCCAGCATCTCAAAGTTGTCTTTGAATGCACAGGAAAAGTTGTAAAGCTGGACCCGTTTAGTGGGGAGAGGATAGTAGATTTTGGGAAAGCGGTCGGCAAACGTTCCGTATTCTTGATGTAAGTCCATGCAAACAACTTGTGCTTTTGAGAGCTTTGTTTTTGCTAGCCAGAAACCTTCCTGAAGTCGTGACAGCGTTTGAGAATTTGAAAGTTCCTACCATAACTGCTCGCTTCGGTACCGCTCCCTTCTTCTGGAACTGGATTATGGGCGCGATTGCAGGACGGGTATTGAGAACTTAATGTATGGCCTTTCTTTTAGTTCTACTGAGAAAGTATGCAGGATTTTCTGAAAGATGATTCCAAAGTACAATCCTTGGCTAAGATTTCAGCTTTTGCCGTACGAATAATTGATCGTTTAGTTGGAGCAAAAGTCTCAATGCGGGTAAAGTTCTAACTTCCCGGATATTATCCTGTAAGTTTGACGGCAAGACATGCAGGTAGACTTGAGCTGCACGGATGGGAAACGAGCTGTTGGACTGTATACTCATCGCAATCTATCCGTGTAAGCAACATTTCCCTCTCCTTACTTTTCTCTCAAAGAAAATTGTTTCCATGCTGTTTCATTTTCAGATGCGTTGGTTCGGCTACTGCAGCCTTCGCAGCACCAGTTTTACAAGGCAAAACTCGACCTGGAGTCTGGTTCCCTGAACAGGCAATATCCTTTGCTCATTTCTCTTTTGTATTCTATCACTAGACAGCTTTCCATTCAGGACGAGGCCATTCCTTTTCAGTATCGAGAACAACTCCTCCAGCAGGCGTCAAAAGGAACATCGAGTTTCGTGATGAACACGTAAGCTATCAGAACGAGAAAATGAGCTTTCTTGTGCTGATGTTACGTCGCTGTGCAGGTCACCTTGGATGGTCGAGGGAGATCCTAAAGAGATAGGCTTCGGCATATATCTCGAATGAGACGTCTGAATCTCGTGTTACACATTATTCGGCTCCACAAAGCATTCAACTCACAATTGTTGTTCGAAGATAGTGACGTTGATGTCTCACTCCTTACATGAGGAGCCTCGGGACTTCGTGTTAGCAAAGGAAAATGGCAGCTTTTCAGCGACAAGTTTCTCGGTTTGGATTGCCAACGATTTCATCGACAATCTCGAAAAGTTCTGCCCAACTTACAGACACTAAGAGCAAGAGAGTGGTGTTGATAGGAGGCACCGGGCGTGTTGGGAGCTCCATTGCTCGCTCGCTGGCCAAGACTTCTCCGAAACTCAGGCTTGTCCTTGCTGGAAGGAACAGGTACGTGTCTAAAATTGAAGCTCGAGCTCACTCGTTGAAAAATGAACTTTCAGGGAGAAGGGCGAAGGACTAGCGTCCGAGATTGGAGTTGGAACAACGTTTCAGAGTGTGGACATCGATGATTTCGAGTCGATAACAATCGCTCTTGATGGTAGGACTGTGGTGCACTTTTCGTGTGTGTTTCACGTCGTCCAGGTGCTGATCTGGTAATTCATTCGGCTGGCCCCTTCCAATCCCGGAAGCGCTGCACTGTTTTAGAAGCTGCAATCGAGAAGAAGGTGAGGCAAGTGGAACAAACTCTTGAGCTCATTTTGTGTTGCGCAGATTTCATATATTGATATCTGCGATGATTTATCCCACGCTCGGCTCGCCAAATCCTTTCACGACAAAGCAGTCGAAGCTGGTGTTTCGGCAATCGTCATGTCTGGACTTTGTCCGGGAGTGAGCAATAGTACACTGCAGGTTTTTCTCAGATGGTTGCTCATATGCTCCTCTTGCAGTAATGGCAGCAGAGCTTGTTCGGATGGCTCAAGAAAATGCGAGCAAACCAGAAGAACTGAAGTATGTTCTTTTTGTTTCTTCTTCCTTGACTTAGATCACGTGCAGATTTTCTTACTTTATTGCAGGGTCCGGCGGCGCGGGTCCGACTGTTTTAGCCACAAGTCTTCTGCTTTTAAACCAAAATGTGTCAGTTTACAGTCAAGGTAGTCAACCTGCTTGATTTTCAGACTGCAAAACATTTTTAAGCAGGAAAGCTGTTGAAGCTAAAGCCATACACTGATGAGACAAAAGTGGATTTTGGAGATGGAGTTGGCAAACGTTCTGTATTTGGCATGTAAGTCTGCATCTCTATCGTGCAAAACTTTCTGAAGAAGAACGAATTTCTACTTTTTTATTTCTTCTCAGAAATCTTCCCGAAGTTACTACGGCTCATGAGATTCTAAACATTCCAAACGTAACAGCGAAATTTGGTACCGCTCCCTTCTTCTGGAACTGGCTACTGAGCCAAATTGCGGGAATGGTGAGCACTCTTTCTTCACGAATATGTTATTTCTTTTTTACCAGGAATTTCTCGAAGACTACTCCAAAGTGGAGAGCTTTGCAAGATTGTCCGATCCAGCTGTCAGAGCCATTGATGTTCTTGTGGGAGGAAAGGTTTCGATGCGAGTAAGAAAGATGTGGCTGCTTTTATTCATTATATCTTGGATCTCAAGCTTGCTTCTTTGGTCTACCCGTCACAGGTGGACTTGGATTGCAAAGATGGCACGAGATCTACTGGACTATACACGCATCCAGATCTTTCAGTGTTAAGTAACGTTCCGCATTTGCGCGATCTAAGAACTCATTTAAGCTTCTGGAAAATCTCCAGGTGCGCAGGAGCAGCAACTGCAGCGTTTGTAGTTCCCATCTTGCAAGGCAAAACACTGCCTGGAGTCTGGTTTCCCGAGGAAGTAAGTAGGGGTGTGCTTGCACAATGAAAAGCTCAAGAAAAGTTTGTCTGGCAGAGAGAAGGGATCCCCATAGAATGCAGGGAAGGCCTTTTGGAGAAGGCATCCACAGGGACGTCAAGATATGCAATGATAGTAAGCTATTATCATTTACATTGAAGGTTTCGTGATACTAAAAGGCTAATCAAAGCGATACACCATAGCAAAGAGTGGATGGAAATTTAACATCATTCACATTCAACATCTATCATTGAATGGACGCTTTTGCAAAGTAGGCAATCTCACGCTAAGTTGTGGAGGTCGTAGCTCCGTCCTTGGGATCTGGACTGAGCCTCTTGAATTCCTCCATAGCTTCCTGATACTTTTGCTTCTCAACGCCTGCTTGATCGACGTAAGGCTGCTTCTCCTCGGCGCCCATCTCCTGCCACAATCAAAGAAATGAGTTGTTGCCTTGTCAAAGCTCTTTTCCAACTTACGTTCCATTTGCTCGCAACGAGCGCAGTGAGCTCTGCGAACTTCGCTGTTGGCATCTCGGCCTGTAACTTCTTCCGGTATTCCATTCTAAATGTGAAGGTTTGAGACGTGGAACTACAATACAAAATTCTCTTACCCAAACAGGATGTAAGCCGTCGCCGCCTTCTTCGGTTTTCCTGGCTCGGCTGTCTTGGCTTTAGCTTTGCGTGGTGCTTTCTCCGCTTTCATTGCCTGCAGAGATTACTTAACTATATCAACACGCAGAGAGGAAGAAGAGAAACAGAACCTTCTTAACTTCGTCTTCCTTCTCTTTCTGCTTCAGCAGCTCCAAACCACAGACCTTGTCTCTTTTCGCCTTCTCTTTCAGAGCTTGCTCTGCGACAACTTCCTCCTGGAGTCAAAAGAGGTGTTCAAGTTCTAGAAAGCATGAGCAAAACGTGCCTTACCTGGGCTTTTTTCTTATTGTAAGCCTCCATTTCAGTGAGGTATGTAGCCTTTGCGTCAGTAGCAATCTAGACAAAAACACAGGAAGGGTTAACTGGAATGGTGAAAGCGAAGTACCTTCTCATAAGGTGCACGTGCTTTTTCATCCATGCTTCGCCATTCTTCGCCAAGTATTTTTCCTATCTGTGAAACATGATAATAAATCGACAAGACCAGCAGAACAAAAAATGTGCTGACCTGTGGGACCTTGAGATTCTCATTCATCAAAGCGGGCCTTCGTTCCTCTGAGTAAGCCATGTAGCCAGTCGTGGGCCTTTTTGGCTTTTCCGGGTCCTTTTCCTTCCTGAAAGAGCAGTATAAGAGCGAACTTTGTGCATCAAACTAAGACAACTTACTTTTTTGGTTTCGCCTGGGCTTGGATTTCCTGAAACAATCAAGAACAAGAACAAACAATGTCATGCATCAGCTAAAAAACAAACCACTAGATACCAAACCTTTTTATATTCCATAAATTGGTCCAGAATTTCCTTCGAAAGCTTTCTGTTTTTCTCGTCTTGTAGAAGCTTAAGTGCCTCGGCTTCTCTCTTCTCCTTGCTGACAAGCTGCTTATAGAAAGTACTGGTTAGAATCTAAGACTTGGATTAAGATATACCACCTTCAGGTACTCTTCTTTGTTCTTCTGGTAAATCTCTTCGTATGGCTTCTTCTCCTCGTCCGAAACAGATTTCCAGAGCTCGCCAAAAATGGAGCTCAGATCTTTAATACCAGCGTTGGGATTTTGCGCGCGCACCTGAGACCAAAGCATCAGCGGATGGAATTTCACCCGAAAATATTGCTTCCAAACCTTCTCACGCTGATCGTTACACCAAAGAAAGTACGAACTAAGAGGCTTTTTGATTCTCTCGGGGTCATTCTTCTTCTTCTTTCCCTTCGAATCGTCGGAGGACTCGTCTGGCAAAGGGATGCTCTACAAAAGCGACGGGGCTGAAGTTAGAACGATGGCAAAAAAGAATCAAATGGAAAAAAAAAAAAAAAAGCAAACCACACTTACAAGATTTGGCTGGAACTCCTTGACCTTCTCGAGCTTCCTAATCTTCTCCTGGAGCTTCTCATGCTCCTTGCTTTGCATCGCGATGCGATCGTGCTGCTCCTTGATCTTGGCGCCCTGCTCCAGAACGAGCTTCTGGACTTCCTCCTTCTCAAGCCTCATCTTGTTGAGCTTCTGGGTCATCGTCTCCAGCTCCCCCTCCCAGTTCCTGGCACTCTTAAGCCCCTTTCCAGCCGCCCTCATGGGTGGAGACACCGGCACTGGAGCCCCAGCCCCCTCGGCCACATTCTCCTTGTTGGACTCCATCGCCGGAGCTGGAGCTTGGGCGGCTGCCGCTGCTGCCGCGGCTTTCCTGCGGGTAGGCATCTCTCCTGCGCGGCACAGGCACAGATTTTTATAGCAAGGAAAGCTACTATTGCAGCACCGATGTGAAAATGGGAAAGGGAACACCTGGGAGAACTATCGGGCAGGACGATCCTTACCTCAGATCAAACGCCGCAAGAATGGATCTCGCCGCTCCCTCGCCGCTTTCTTCCACCAGGGTTTAATGTTTCGTTGGGCTGGATATAAACGGTCAGATCCTTTTCCCGGTAAAACCGAGCATTTCAAAAACAGTATAGTACTTTATAGTTTGGGCGGTAAATTTGAACTACAGCCACGGGAAAAGGAGAATTTTTCTGCCATATCAGTAAATCTTGTGTGGTGAATGAAAAATTTTATTCCTGAAAGAGTTCAAGAATTTAAGTAAGAAGGCTTTAGAGATTTGTTGATGAAATTTTAGTGTTGGACATTTGAAGTTAGTTTTGCTAAATAGTCACTTCTTGCAATTTTTGGTGGTAGTCCAAAATCAGCAAGTTCACTAAGATGACTTATTTTCTTCTATGTACTAATTGTGAAGAAGTGGTTCAGTTTAATATTGTATAACAGCCCTCAGTATATTGTAAGTTTCTCTTATTGTTTATGATGCAAATTTCTCATGTTATTCAGAATTAAGTGCAACTTACCATCATGAAACCAATGAGATTGATAAAAGATATCTCCAAACCTTGCAGTACATAGGTTTAGGACCCCATTGGAGTAATTATTGCCATATGTTAGAACTTGCTTTTCTAGTCTTTAAAACTTGTAAGCACTATGGTCTTATAATCTCTCTTTCTCTACCTTCTTCAGTTTTCAATGTTTTTTTGTTCATTTAGTCTACTGTGGATAGGTTTTAAGAGCATTGAGCATTTGCAGGAGCCACTTGTGCAAAGAACACATACAAAAGCTGTAAAAAATCTCACATGTTACTGTTATCTCTTTGGTAAGAGGTCACCTAAGAAACAACAAGCTGATGGATGATGGATATAATGCCATTTCAGATCCTTACTCTCATTTGCATGAGTTGCTAGCTTGCAATCTTAACTTTCACTCACCAAATGCTCAAAATTGGAAACTTTATTGCGGAACATTTCTGGTTGAGTCTCACAGGATATGTTTCTCGACTCCACTGAAAAGGTTGACTATTCAGATTGACTATTCAACTGCAGAAGAATTCAAAGGAAGAAAGCTCATAGCAACTCTTATTTCAGTTCTCTTGTATAATCAGAATATATTCACTTCGATCATCTTCTGGTAAGAATGGGAAGAAGAATGACGAGGAGGATGATAATGAGAATAATTATCCCGATGCATGTCCACTTTCGGCTTCTCCTCTGCGATCGCTTGGCCTTGACCAGCTGCTGTGTTCCTCGATCCACAAAAGACGCTGCCTTGTTGACATGTTCCTCGATTGTATTAAGCTGCGCGCCCTGTGCGTCCACCAGTGTTGCCAGATCCTGGAAGATCTGCTGCAGCTCCCGCAAATTTTTCTCCACTTCCATCATGGCATCGTGTCGCTCCTGAATCTCCTGGATTGTGTCGAGAATCTGCCTCCTCCCCTGCTCCTGGATGGCCTTCCGTAAGAAATTTTCGCTCTCCCCCGTCTGGATCATCCGCTCGATCACCTCCTGGCTCGCCTGTTCGCCCGTGACGGTGAAGTAACGGCGCTCGATCGTCCCGCGGTACTCGCTGCTCATCCTCTCCCGCAAGTTTGCGAAATCGGCCATCAGGTCGCGAAGCTTGATCCGGAGGCTGTTGGTGATGGACATCCTGGTTCGATCGGTGGACGAGCCCTCCTCGCAGCCTTTCACCTTCCTGTTGGCCAGATTGCTCGCATCCAGCGCCTCGAGCTTGGATTTGATCGAGCGCCCGTTCTTGAGCACGAGGGATACGTGTTCGTCCATGCGCAACCGGAGCTCTCTCATGGCTCCCGGTCTGTGAATGCCCTTGCTCGACTCATTGTCCTCGTTGAGCTTGAGGAGGAGCTCCTGGATCGCGTCCATGGCGTCCTTAATCTTGCTCACCTCTTCGAAAAAGCCCACCAGGCTCTTCTCCGAGTTGTGGACCGCCATCTCCACGTCCAGGGGGCTGGCCTCCATGTCGGATCCCCGAGGGAAGGAACTCGATAGCAAATTATTCATCCTTTTAATTTACCAGTCGGCCAATCGATCGAATGAAACCTCTTAGCCCTTCCTTTCTCCTCCCTCAAAGAGCTTGCCAGGTTTGACCACGCGTGCACGCGGAGAAGAGAAAGAACTTTTCCAAGTCGAGACAAGAGAATATTCATCTTCTGGAGTGTCTCAATTGAAACCAATACCTTGTCTCCTTTTTCCTTGGAACGATCTTCTGTCTGGATGAACAAAAAAGGATCTATATGCTACATTTTACTCCATTAATGCCACTTGGCTAAGAACTTATGTTCATTTTAAATAGTAACAAATTTGGGGACTAAAATATTTAGGAATGTTTAAGTTTCTCTCTGACAGTCTAATGATAGTGTCAACGATGGTGAGATTAGAAGTGATCAGAAAAATAAAAAATAAAATCACAAAATAAAAAATAGTTTAGTGTTATATGAATGTTTTTTTTATTATGATGTATTTTTATTTAGTATATAATACCATTTTTTTAAGTTTAAAAAACTCATAATTATCCTTATTATTCTCTGATTGTATAAAAAAGTAAAATTGTACAATTTTATTCTAATTATAATATACTTTTTCCATTTGAAGATTGTTGAGAAAAACAATTATTTTTAAATCCAGCATTTAAAACTGCCAAATATTTATTTTTGATAAGTGGTTTTTATATGATATAGAAAGTAAGAAAATTTTCAAAAAGAAAAAATAAAATCAAATTTTAAACTGAATATACATTTTTTATGTCATTTATGCAAACAATTTTTTATACTCAGAAAAA